TCATCGCACGGATCCAGGGCACCGCACGCACAAACAGGCAGACACGTGAAGCGCGGTTGGGCGAACAAGGTCACAACGGTACCGGCATCAAGGCAATAGCTTGCGCTACCTGCATGCGCGAAGCACCAGTGTTAAAATTGACAACCCAACGTTGAAACGGCGACGCATGGCGTGCAGGCATGTCATCGCACGGATCCAGGGCACCGCACGCACAAACAGGCAGACACGTGAAGCGCGGTTGGGCGAACGAGGTCGCACAGGTCCCTGCGTCAAGGGAATATCTTGCGCTACCTGTATGCGTGGAACTACAATGTTAAGAATGACAACCCAACGTTGAAACGGCGACGCATGGCTTGCAGGCATGTCATCGCACCGATCCAGGGCACCGCAACCACAAACAGGCGTCACGTGAAGCGCGGTTGGGCGAACGAGGTGACACAGGTCCCTGTGTCAAGGGAATAGCTTGCGCTACCTGCATGGTTGCGAACAAGGTCACACCGGTACCGGCATCAAGGCACGCACTTGCGCTACCTGCATGCGCGAAGCACCAGTGTTAAAATGTCAGAATATTATGCTCTAGCCTGTAGTGGGGTGCTCTATAGCGAGTACAACCCTTCTAGGGTTTGCTATTTGTATCCCCATTCTTACTAGTGCAACTCCTCTTTGCCTAAACTTCTCTTGCCTAGCTAGGGTTCTCCTAGCTATGGCTCCTAACTATCTTTACTATCTCGACATGCTATCAGAGCAGGTCGATCCCTTTGGATCGATCCTGTGGGTGGGCTCACCACCTCGTTGCTTCCGCTGCAACTTCCGCTGCTACTCTATGTGCGGCAGTTTTTTCTTCCCGCCGTGCGCCCCGAGGCGCGCGGCGGTTTTCTGCCCGCCGTGCGCCCCGTGGCGCGCGGCGGTTCTCTGCCCGCTGTGCGCCCCGAGGCGCGCGGCGGGCTTCTGCCCCGTCACTCGACGCGTCGCCCCCGGGAGGCGTTGCGACGGGCGACGGGGACCCGCGCGTCGCCCCCCGTCGCCCGTCGTGGCCTGCGCGCGGCCCGTACAGCCGGCGTGCGGCCCGTACGGGCTGCGCCAGGCCCGCGCGCGGCCCGTACGGGAAGCGCCAGGCCCGCGCGCGGCTCGGGCCGCCTGCGCGCGGTTCGGGCGGCTATGCCAGGCCCGTGGGCGGCCCGTTCCTCGCTGCCCCTGCCCTCCCCACTGTCCCCCGTGCTTCTACTGGCGCCCCACCCCTCCTACAGCCCGTTCTCCTGAATTAGGGTTTGGGGGTGAGGGGTATGGGGGTGAAGCCACTGAGTGCCGTTCCCTGTTCCTCCTCCTCCTCCGTCTCCCTGTGCTGCAGCTGCCGCTGAGGGGGGGTGGACTTGTTGGAGCCGTTGGAGTGGTACTAAGGGGGGGTGAAGGGGGAGTGGAGCTAGCGGTGTAGCAGCGGGTGTGTGTCAGGGGGAGTGGGATAGTTTGGGGAGGTTGAAGGGGGTGGCCGCCGTGAAGCCAGCAGCTCCAGTCGCCCGTGAGACCGTTGCGCCAGTCGCCCGTGAGCCCGTTGCGCCAGTCGCCCGTGAGCCCGTTGCTCCAGTCGCCCGTGAGTCCGTTGCTCGTCTGCCGCTACTTTCAGCCGCGGAGCCAGTTACTCCAGTAGCCCGTGTGCCAGTTGCTCCAGTTGCCAGTGTGCCAGTTGCTCCAGTTGCCCGTGTGCCAGTTGCTCCAGTTGCGCCGTGTGCCAGCAGCTTCAGCTGCCGCCCACTACCTCCTCTCCTCTCATAGTCTCTTTCCTCCTCCTCACTTGCCCGTTGTGACTACCACTAGCTTTGCTCATAATTGTGAACTTTAAACTATTGCTTCTTGAACTTGTGCTCAGAATGTGTGGTGACATTGTGATCCACCCTGAGCTTGTACTGCTTTGTTTCCTCTGCTGATTACACCCCACTTTGGCTATGGGGGTGTGTCAGAATATTATGCTCTAGCCTGTAGTGGGGTGCTCTATAGCGAGTACAACCCTTCTAGGGTTTGCTATTTGTATCCCCATTCTTACTAGTGCAACTCCTCTTTGCCTAAACTTCTCTTGCCTAGCTAGGGTTCTCCTAGCTATGGCTCCTAACTATCTTTACTATCTCGACATAAAATTGACAACCCAACGTTGAAACGGCGACGCATGGCGTGCAGGCATGTCATCGCACGGATCCAGGGCACCGCACGCACAAACAGGCAGACACGTGAAGCGCGGTTGGGCGAATGAGGTCGCATAGGTCACTGCGTCAAGGGAATATCTTGCGCTACCTGTATGCGTGGAACTACAATGTTAAGAATGACAACCCAACGTTGAAACGACGACGCATGTCGTGCAGGCATGTCATCGCACCGATCCAGGGCACCGCAACCACAAACAGGCGTCACGTGAAGCGCGGTTGGGCGAACGAGGTGACACAGGTCCCTGTGTCAAGGGAATAGCTTGCGCTACCTGCATACTTGCGAACAAGGTCACACCGGTACCGGCATCAAGGCACGCACTTGCGCTACCTGCATGCGCGAAGCACCAGTGTTAAAATTGACAACCCAACGTTGAAACGGCGACGCATGGCGTGCAGGCATGTCATCGCACGGATCCAGGGCACCGCACGCACAAACAGGCAGACACGTGAAGCGCGGTTGGGCGAACAAGGTCACACCGGTACCGGCATCAAGGCAATAGCTGGCGCTACCTGCATGCGCGAAGCACCAGTGTTAAAATTGACAACCCAACGTTGAAACGGCGACGCATGGCGTGCAGGCATGTCATCGCACGGATCCAGGGCACCGCACGCACAAACAGGCAGACACGTGAAGCGCGGTTGGGCGAACGAGGTCGCACAGGTCCCTGCGTCAAGGGAATATCTTGCGCTACCTGTATGCGTGGAACTACAATGTTAAGAATGACAACCCAACGTTGAAACGGCGACGCATGGCGTGCAGGCATGTCATCGCACTGATCCAGGGCACCGCAACCACAAACAGGCGTCGCTTGAAGCGCGGTTGGGCGAACGAGGTGACACAGGTCCCTGTGTCAAGGGAATAGCTTGCGCTACCTGCATGCGCGAAGCACCAGTGTTAAAATTGACAACCCAACGTTGAAACGGCGACGCATGGCGTGTAGGCATGTCAGGCAATACAATATCCGTAGTGTTTCCTATATCCCTGCCATATACAAGCCGTTGTTCGCCGCGTTGCAACACCATGTGAGTCACATCAGTAGATAACATTCAAACCATGAACGTGATTGCCATACAATAGAAGTCTAGGGTCTAGAATCAAGGTCTTGTTGTCAACCCACACTCAAGCGCTACACACTTCTGAAAACTGTCCTGCGCCCACATCAGGCGACCACATTTCCATTGTGCTACATGATCCTGTTTCCTCACAGCTGCACTCAACATGTTGGTGAGGGACCACATCAGTCAAGGAGTACGTAAACTTCCTCGGTTGAAGCGTGCAATGGATGACCACGTCTTTTCTGGCGGGGCAACGATCACACATGCATGAGAAACGGTACCTGGAGACGAACATGTATTCAAATGGGGACGTGTTATTAAACCAAATCGCCGCACACATATGAACACACGATGGGAATACTCCTCAAGATTCACTTCCGGGACCTTTTTTCACAATGCAACCACCTAAAGGACGGAAAGACAAGAGCGACCAACATGCACGCACCTCCAAGTGCCCGAGTCGATCCTGTGCCGGCTATGCTCGTGCCATCTGCCACCGTCTTCGTGAGCTAGACGACATGCACGTCGGAGCATGATCCGACGTTTGCTGCTCATGGATCGTAAGAATAACAAAGATTCGATCTCATTGACGTCGAGGATGGGCATAGTTGAGACAGCAAGCGATACGGTTAAGAGCACCTATTCTCGTCCTGTACTCACCGTGCTTGCTTGGTGTGACTACGTGGATTATAGAAAGAGCGCCAAAACAGCGCGCGTGACCCGTGCGGGTTGCACCTGGTAAGCGCAAGTGACGCCATTTGCCTATCAATGACAGCTCGAATGGTGTGAGGACGCTAGAACTTCTACGCTGCCAATGAACATGTACTACCTTGACGTAAGTACTAGCGAATCTACTACCGCACTAACGTCCGAGATTCCAGCAGCGGGAGAGAAGTCTCTGATGGGTTCGCCGGTGTGTGGAATCTGGATTCGGGGTGGTACGCTGTTTTGGATGGCGCGATACCTTAGTGGTACAGTCTAACTTTCTGATCGATGGGTTATCATCTACTCGTTCAAAATTTGGCTGGTAACATTCGGGGTTACATGTAGATACACACCTGCCTGCGATCTTCGCGAAATATGTGTGTTCGCAACCAGCTCCCTTCCTCACCCTCGTGTAGAAACCCGGTTTCCAGCTAAGGGCACGGGGTGGCGCGCATATGGACGGCGGGACTTTGCCAGCACCACACAGTGCTCCCACCTAACGCGATGCGGAGTGGGGCTGCAGAACTTGTAAATCGATCCGCTGGCTCCCTCGTTGTTAGCATGTGGTGGTCACGTCCGTAGGATAAAACACTATCAACGGTTGAGCCCAGTCCATCCCTTCTCCGCCACAGTCACAGCACGTTCTCCGAACGGATCTGCTGCGGGGCTGCAGCAAACCCTACAGCGCGGACGACTATGCGCACCCTCACTACCTCTGAAGTTTGAGTTGGTGATTCAAATTTTCAAACCCTAAGTGCGCATCTACTCGCTCTGTTGGCGTGGCGTACCCCTGCCATGCTATTGTCTGGTGCGCACCCTAGACAGTGTGCCGTCAGTACGAGGCCTATAAAGATGGTAGATCATGGGGGCTCGGTAACTTTTCTACTCATGTTCACTGACGCTAGGCATACATGGAAACCCTAACTGCTATCACGAGAAAGGCTACGTCGCGTCCATCTCGTCCTCCCTCTACTGGCGGTCGATTCAGGTTTGCTGCAGTTGTTGAAGCAGCCGTTGCCGCACGAAACTCAACGGTGCAGAACAATGGCGCCAACGGTGGGACGAGCCCTGTAGCTGGTGGATCAAGTAGCCCTGTTGGCGCTTCAAATGGGGTTGACGAAGGTAAGTTCTACCTCCACTGCTTTAGCTGTGGGTACATAGCGGGTTCCGAGAGCCCTAGTTATCCTCGCGCTGCTGCGTTTTTTTTGTTGCGTGCATGGCATTAACCAACGGCGTGTGTACTTTGCTGCAGGGAACCGTATTGTCTCCCTCAATCAACTATCGCTGCCATCGAATGGTGGCCTCTCCATCGGAGCAGCAACAACCACGGCTGGAGGCGGCAGAAGGTCCGGTGGTGCACGTCGCAACACCACAGCGCCGAACGGTGTACGACAGCCCGCAACATCCACTGGGAGAAGGCCGCGAGGCAGCTCCGCACCCGCCGGTGGAGTTGTCGCGTCAGATGCGGTACAGGCTGGGGCAACGGCACGAAACCAGACTGGACGCACGGCTGCAGCTCGTGCAAGGCAGGCGGAAGCATACCAGACTGGCCGGTCAGCACAGCAGTCCGACCCTCATGCGGATGCGGCGATTCAGCGTGCTGCAGGTGCGGCGACTACGCGTGCCGCTGATGCGGCGCATCAGCATACATATGGAGGGGCGATTCAGCGTCCTCCTGGAGCGGCGAGTCCGGGTGCTGCTGGTGCGGCGAGTGCGCCAGCTGCTGGTGCGCCGAATACGACTGCTGCTGGCGCGGCGCTTCCGCGTGCTGCTGAAGCGGCAATTCTGACTGCCGCTGGTGCTGCGTTTCAGCCTGCCGCTGGTGCTGCGTTTCAGCCTGCCGCTGGTGCTGCGTTTCAGCCTGCCGCTGGTGCTGCGTTTCAGCCTGCCGCTGGTGCTGCGTTTCAGCCTGCCGCTGGTGCTGCGTTTCAGCCTGCCGCTGGTGCTGCGTTTCAGCCTGCCGCTGGTGCTGCGTTTCAGCCTGCCGCTGGTGCTGCGTTTCAGCCTGCCGCTGGTGCTGCGTTTCAGCCTGCCGCTGGTGCTGCGTTTCAGCCCGCCGCAGGTGCTGCGTTTCAGCCCGCCGCAGGTGCTGCGTTTCAGCCTGCCGCTGGTGCTGCGTTTCAGCCTGCCGCTGGTGCTGCGTTTCAGCCTGCCGCTGGTGCTGCGTTTCAGCCTGCCGCTGGTGCTGCGTTTCAGCCTGCCGCTGGTGCTGCGTTTCAGCCTGCCGCTGGTGCTGCGTTTCCGCAAGATGATGGACAGCAGGTTTTGCTCGAGGCTGGAGCCACGCTTGCGTTTGCAGCTGGAGGCGCAGACCAGCCTGGTGTTGGAGCCGCGTCTCACCCTGCTGGAGTCACGTTACCTCATGAGGCTGGAGCCTCATTCCAGCCCGACGCTGGTCCGGAGTTTCCGGCTGCTGCTGGAGGCGCATTAGAGTCTGATTCTGATGCATTCGATGTGTTTCTGGAGGACGATGAAGATGGTGGTGGTTATAAGCAGCCAGTGGACCTCGAGGCGGAGCCAGAGATAGAACCCGCCATCCCTGAACCTGTGTACATGCCTGAGCTGATGGAAAATCGTGCGACAGAGTCTACGTCGCCAACAGTTGACCGTGCAGTGTTTGAGGCCCAGGCCGCGCGATACCGCCAGTTGGAGCGCGAGCTTATGCAAGCGCAAAATGAGATGCGTGCCATGCAGCGACAACATGCACCCTCACAACATGGCACTGGTCAACGCGATGGGCAGCGGTTCGACACCGAGATCAACACCGATGCGGATGCAGGTGGTTGGAACGATGCGGCGAACATAGCAGATCCGAACGAAGTGGTTTCAGGTGGGGCCGGTGCGACAAACAGTGGGCGTTTCGAGGCGGCTTCCGCGGCTAACGGAGGGCCGTCAGGAGCTGCTGTTGCTGCTAACGCTGGGCTACCGGGTGCTGCTGGTGCGGCTAACGGAGTGCGTTCTGGGCTTGCTCGTGCGGCTAACGGAGGGCCGTCAGGTGCTGCTGGTGCGGCTAACGGAGTGCCGTCAGGTGCTGCTGGTGCGGCTAACGGAGGGCGTTTTGGTGCTGCTGGTACGGCTAACGGAGGGCGTTTTGGTGCTGCTGGTGCGGCTAACGGAGGGCGTTTTGGTGCTGCTGGTGCGGCTAACGGAGGGCGTTTTGGTGCTGCTGGTGCGGCTAACGGAGGGCGTTTTGGTGCGGATGCGGCAGGCGAAGACAACTACGAGCTGCACCTTAACATACCGCGTCCCTTGGTGTTGGTCGAGCCGAACCGCCCTGCGATCATTGACGCTGTCAACAGTGCGTACGCACATGGAGCCACACTCGACCTGCATCAACTGACTCATATGCAACGGTCGTGGGCGCACCGTTACGCGATGGCGTTGGCCTCAATCCCAGCGAAACACAATGGGTTCACGGTAGGCCACGGTCTCCTCATTTGTCCAGTCTATCGCCTTGCTCGTCGCATGTAAGGTAGCCGTCCCTAGCCCTATAAAGTCGCCTGCAATGTGTCTGTTTAAGTAGCCGCACGGGCTGGTCTAAACCATGCCAGTCGACCGTGTTACATGCGGCACATTCACTGGCTACGACGGTCACCAACCTTCAGCCCAACCCCCTCCCCTTTGTCCATACACTCCCTCCTACATTGGCAGGCGCGCTGGTCTACATACCCCCAAGACCCGCCCTACCCTCATGTGGGGGTGAGGAAGGCGCAATCACGCCAGCCCAATCACCCTGCCTCTGCCACTGCGCATAAGCCCCTCCCCTTCCCATTCTAACCGCCTCTCTCCCCTCCTTTGGCAGGCGCGCTGGTCTACATACCCCCAAGACCCGCCCTACCCTCATGTGGGGGTGAGGAAGGCGCAATCACGCCAGCCCAATCACCCTGCCTCTGCCACTGCGCATAAGCCCTCCCCTTCCCATTCTAACCGCCTCTCTCCCCTCCTTTGGCAGGCGCGCTGGTCTACATACCCCCAAGACCCGCCCTACCCTCCCGAGGCAGTGAGCTAGGGAGCATGCAGACGAACTGCAGCAGCAAGTCTGCACTTTTGTCTAATCCCCCTCCCTCCCTGTGACGTTGTACTCGTTGTAGCATCTCCCTTTGCATTTGTGCAGGGTCCATCCGACCCAGCCAGACATCCCGGGCCTGTGAGATGTAGTTCAGTCAACCCATCTGACTAAGACGGTCTTCCTCCCTCTGTGCCTAAGCTCCTAAACCCTTCTCAACAATCTCTTGCCCTGAACCTCTGTGAGAATGCAGGCCGCTGCAAAGAAAGCCGTAGACATACTTGTCTATGAGACTCCGAACGCCCACCTGCAGTTCTGGTGCCCTCGTTCAGCGGTTATCAATGCGCTAGCGTCTGCCTTGAAGTACACAGACCCTGCGCAGATCGAAAACCTGACGCTAGTGATGGAGAACGAGACTGGTCGACCGGGTCAGTTTCGAAAGAAGTTCCAGGACAAACGCAACACGATACTCACCACGGGCCGCGTCAACCTGTATGAGTACTTCAACATCAAGATAGAACGGCCGAACCTCCACCAGGCCGTGGTGGGACGTGTGGAACCTTCAGCCTTTGTCGCCAAATTCGCTGCAGGTAGCGTTTCATAGCCACTTGCCTGCTTCCCCTGTTAAAAGGCTTGTTACTTTGCACCTGCAAACACACTCGCACGTCTCTCGTATCCAGCCGGCTCTCTTGCGCAACTTTTCCACTAACTGTGCCCCTGTTCCCATGTTTTACCGTCCATCCACCAGTTGTCAAATGCCTGTACCCACGATTTTCCCTTCTACCCCACTGTTTTGCTGTCTACCCCACTGCCCCCCATCAGACATGCCATGCAAGCCCATGCCGCCAGGTGATGTACACCATTCTGCTCACAATGCCGAGGCACGCAAGACCAAGAAGTTCTTCATTGTCTCAGATTTACATGGTGCCAATCTTCAGTGGGACTTCGCACCGATCGACAGCTCTCACCCTTCCCTACTGTACCTTGCTGCCCGCCAATGCCCACTCTGTCCTCCAGTCCTCTGCTGTGCCCCTCTATACCCCTCCATTCCCCGCATGCACCCACATGTCCAGCACGGGCCTGTCGAAGATTGTGAAGGCAGAGGCTCTATGCATAGGGCAGAACCCTTCCCCCAAACGCATGCCTACCAAAATCTGATGCATTTCACCATTCCTCCTTGAGTTGTGTTTCATTTGTAAGCCCCTTGAGATTCCCTCCTACACCCCGAATTCCAGATGATGACTCGTGGGACCTGCTGACCTGGACTAAGAATGACAAGGGGGTCCTTCTGGCGAACGACATTTTCACCGGCGCTATCTATCTGTCATATGAGAGGGAGGGCTATCCGAAGCTGGTGCTGCGACTGAAACACATTGCGTTTTGGCTCCTCGGGGTAGGTGAACATTCAGTACATGTCAGTTGGTGCAAAACTAGTTGGTGCTCATGTTGATGTTCTGCTTAGCATAACTGCAGGTGGAACACAAGATCAAGACTGGTTTGCCTCTCTCTCACAGCAGTGTGAACCTCAAAGGACTGTACGCAAGATACAGCTCCAATGTCCGCAATGTCGTTCGTGATGCCATCCAGAGCCCCACGCGCAATGCCACGGGACCTTGGTGGCAGGCCTATTTCAAAGCGTGGAAGTTTCACGAGAGCACAGATTGCCTTTTTATCAGCTGTGATGGGATTGAGGATTTGAACCCTTAGACGTGCTACTATGGGTAGGCAATAAATAGTTGTGTGCTTGCTATGACGCTCACAGGACGTAGATTTGTAGTAACGTAGTATTATTAATTGTAGGTTCTATATGTAGAGACGTTTCAGTATATCCAATTGAGTGGCAAACAACTGAAAATTTAATGCGACTCTGCATCAAAAAGGCCTCGGCGAATTAGAGAGCAAGAAACATTCTCGCCCACCAATTAACATCCAGTGCTGCAGTCGCCCGCGCAACGCCTGAACCTACGGGCGAGAAACTTCAACGCAGGTTTAGGCTCGGGAACACACACAGCATGAAAATATACGCTACGTAGGTTCATTGGCAACCGAAAAGTAGGCGTTTTCAAACCTACTGAAGGGTATCTACCAGGTATCCAAATCGTAGCTTTTTGTCTCGCACATTTTTGGGATGGATGACGTCGTCCCACTGGCGCTTTTGTCTTTGGCTTTTCGGCTACCCCGTCCCCACACCCGCCCTAAAGCTTGCGGCCGGATTCGCCCGGATCAGCGGAAATAAGATGGCGAGAATGAGAGCAGCGGCAGCAGCAGCAGCAGCAGCAGCATATCCATTTCTTCTGCATGAGAAAGAAACATCGTTTTCACGGAAAAAGGCTCTCCCGAACTCGGCCACCTTTCTCCAGCCAGACTCCCACAAACTGCTACGGCGGGACCTTCCGACTCAGTCACTAGCGAGTCACTACTAGAGTTCCGACTCGGTGGCTGTGACTTAAAAGTCTGACCTTACAGCTGCTACTTCTGCTAGTGCTCTGCTACAATGGCGTCGCGTCATCGGCGTGTAATGAGCGCAGCGGTTGTTCTGAGCGCGGCCGAGCAGCAGCACCGTGCTGCTACTGCTACTGACAAGACAGCAGCCCACACCAAGGCTCGTGCTACGCTGATGCAGACTGTGCCGACGAGGTCCGTTGATACGCTGCCTCAAACGACGAGGACTGCGAGGGGCTACAACAACAGCCGCCAAGGCGCCGATTCCAGTCACCGTGACATGATGCACATCATGCGCGGCCCTCCCATGGCGCGCCCCCTGCCCCGCAGCATCATGACCGGCTGCTGCTCTCAAGCCTATCATGATGCCACCTCTCTTCCAGCTTGCGAGGCGGCTCAGGTGAAGGCGGCGCCACGGCAGATCACACAGAGAGCTCCAGCAGCAGCAACAACAACAGCAGGAGAAGCAGCAGCATTAGCAGCAGCAGCAGCAGCAGCAGCAGCAGCAGCAGCCGCAGCCGCAGCCGCAGCATCTGGAGCATTGACAAGCATGGCGCGTGCGTCGCAGCATCAGCATAATGAGCAGCAGAAGCAGCGCAGGCCGCCACATCATCTCCTGCGCGTCATGCCGCCCAGCACCAGCGGGTGCCCCATTCCTCCTCGCCCCTCCCACCCATCGCTTGCCTCCCGCAGCTTCCCTCGCAGCACTTCCCTGCCTCTCTGGCAGCTCAATCCGCCCCCCAATTTGCCTCGTTCCTCTGCTCCCTCCACTCACTCCACCCCCTCGTTTGCCTCCTCTCCGGTCTCCGTTGCTGCTCCTGCATCTTCATCTACCTGTTCTGTTTCTGCCTCTGCAGAAGAATCCCTTTCCTCCTCCAACCGTATTCAATCCCGTGGCTTCCCATCCATGGCACTTCCCAGCCGTGAGCTCGTCCGTAGATACTCCTCTCCTGCCCTGCGCCCGAACCTGTCCAATAGCCCTGGAACAAGCCCCGTCAGCAGCCCTAGAGGCTGTTTTGAGCCAATTGCTGACCAGCTGAGCTCTTCCGAATCAGAATATCAGGTTCGGAAGGCCTGAGTCCAAAACGCTCTTGCTTCAGTCCGAAAGTCGGGAGCCCCACTTACCCTGCCGCTCGAAAGCTTGTTCGACGTGTATCATTCAGCGGCATTGTGCAGGTGAGGCGGGTCATCGACCTGCATCCTGATGCTGACAAATACTGCAGTGACTCCGATGGGAGGTACTCGAATGCTATCAGTCATGGCCAATGGTGTTGCGATGCTATTTTCTGCAGCACAAGGGAGCATCAGCAACAGCAGCAAAACACATCCCGTGACTCATACTCCAGCCTTTCGGCTTCATCCAACTCCTCCCCATCCTCTCCGCAACTTCTATCCTCCCCATCTTCCTCATCCTCCTCTCTCTCCCCATCACCCCCCTCTAATCCGTCTCACCATCTGACGCCCCATCCCCCTCCTCGTCGCAACTGGTCCCACTCCTCCCTCGCCTCCTTGTCCCCAAGCTCACCTTCCTCCTGTTCCTCATCCCACCCACATGCCTGCACTAGCAAGCTCCCCTCCCCAGCTGCTAGAAGGCTGATCGCACGCCTTCGTGCATCAGCAGCCGCAGCAGCAAGGCAGGGCAGCGAGCAAGTTGTGACTCGTGCAGGAGTGCCATGGTCATTGTGACCACTGGTTAGAATCGATGCACTGATTTCGCAGTACCTGTACTGTATAGGCCAAACGGCAAGTGTCTGCTTTTGTGTTGAAATTCCAAAATACTTGGAAAAGAATGCCTTGACACAATCAGGGCCTAAAAAAAAAGGAGGATTTCTCCCAGTTGTATACAGACGACAAGGTGCTCCCTTAAGCGCTTAGGTAGTCAAGGTAGTACGAGATGATAATACCGTATCGCCCCGGATATAAGCGCCGTCCAATTAAAGGCGCCGGCGCTTCTATCTGGAGCATGGCGCTTATGGCCGGAACTCGATTATAAGCGCCCCCCCTGTGAAACCCTGATTTATTA